TTCTTACTTCTTCTGAGCTTTGTTGAGTATATGGTAAAAACTCGTTCTATAAACCTACTCACATACCAAACAAATCCGGAGATAGAACAAGCCTTCGAGAGGTTGAGAAATTTATTTCCGCACACACCCTCGGAGGAATCATCAAATGCTAGCTCTAGCGAATCCGAAGATTCTTTCCACATGGCTCCTGAGACAAGGACACTACGGGATCCCACCGCTATAAATCTAAATCAACAACCATTGTGTATTACCTTCCCTACACTCGATGAGGGTAATACATTTGAGCTTAAATCTGGAGTGATACATCTACTGCCATCCTTCCATGGCCTAAGAGGAGAAGACCCGAATAAACACCTTTCGGAGTTCCATATCGTTTGCACAAGCATGTGCCAAACGGTGTCACAGAGGAACAAATCAAACTAAGGGCTTTTCCATTCTCTTTGAAGGACACCGCAAAAGATTGGCTTTTCTATCTTCCGTCAGGAAGCATCAACACATGGGCGGCTATGAAAAAATGCTTCCTTTAAAGGTACTATCCTGCATCCATCTCATCATCTCTAAAGAAACAAAGAAGCAACATTGAACAAAAAGATGATGAGTCCTTGTATGAATTTTGGGAATGATTTAAGAAGCTATGTGCTAACTGCCCCTATCATGGTTACACAAAACAAGACATCATCTTATACTTTTATGATGATCTTGTTGATGATGATAGAAGAATGGTAAATGCCGCTTGTGGAGGCGGCATTGTCAACAAAACTCCCTCACAAGCAACAAGCTTGATTTCAGAGTTGGCCGAGAACTCACGGCAATTCGGCCGCAAATCGCCAGCTCGAAGAGTTCTGGTTGCAGAAACAAGCACGAACGCTCTAGAAAGTTGATGAACATGCAACTTCCATGTCTATGTTTGTATTTTTAATTAGTTTTGATTGATCGTTACTTTGGAAATTACACACTTTTGGTGTAATAGTTTAGTTTGTAAAATACTTTTAATTTATTTAGATTAGGTTTATTCTGAGCTCAAACAGGTCCAAGATCACTCTAGGGGCCATGGGTGAACATCAAAAGTGGAAGGAAAGTGCAAAATCTCAAGACAAAAGAAAGATCCTGAATTTTTGTGTTGTACCCGGTCGGGTATGACCTATACCCGATCGGGTACCCTGCTGAAAAATCAAATCGGATCAATCCGGGAACAAATCAACATGCGGGGAAGATTTTGGCCATGTTCGAATGTCATACCCGATCGGGTACACACCCCTGCACACTCCATTTCCCTATAAATACATCCCTTTCCTTCCCACAAAAAGAACCAATTCCTATTTACTTCTTAGCTCAGTTTAGACAAGCTCTTTCTTTATATTTTCTTCATGTTTAGTCTCCAAATGAGGAGCTAAACTCTTCCATCTTGGTTTTGCTACTTTGAAGCTTATTGAATTTGTAAGTTGTGAGTTATTCTCTTTAATTTTCTTCCTTGAATATTAATTCTTCCTTTAAATACTATTTCTATATCAATGTTGGGGAGTGTTACTAAGATGACAATTAGTTAACATCTTGACATTAGTTATAGTAATAGTTATTTCTTCTTCTATGTTAATATTGGGGAGTGTTACTAAGATGACAATTAGTTAACATCTTGATATTAACTATAGTAGGATTCATACTCTTTAATATTCTTCCTTGAGTATTAATTAATTCCTATTCATATTTCATATTAATATTTTGAACATTACTTAAAGGATCAACTAGTTTTGTTTCATATATTAATTATTACTAGAATCAGTCGATTAATACGCTTGTTATTAATTTGGTTCCTTCAACGGTAGTAAACTTGGATTGTTAATACATGCGTCTCATGATTAATAATCTAAGGGGAATTAATTATATTGATTAAACCGATAAACCGCTTGTGTTGAGGTTATCAATCTCAATCGTTTTCATCTCAAGTTTATTGCTACTATCGTGTTAATATACGGCGCATGTTCTATATTGACTCGGTAGTAAGTTTTATTAATGAACGCGTCTCGTTATTAATAACTACCCTCGATGAACTGGATATACCCCTCGATTGAGTATTCGAGAGGAAGATAGTTAAAGATATAACCGGGATCGACGAACATTTCATTAAGTGGATAAAAGCAAAACCAAGCCCTCATCTCTATAAATTAAACTCATATAAGTCGTTTATCTTAGTGTTAATTAAATTCAATCAAATCAAACTTAAAAACCCCCTTGTTACTATTTATATAAAAGAAAAGTATTCTTTTCCCTGTGGATACGAACCTTACTTCACTATACTACGTATTAGTGTTGTATTGATAAATTATTTTGAGTGCACCTCACGACAAGTGCACGTCAAAAGTCAACTTGTCGACTTGACATCTTTGGTAAAACAACTCCTTCTAAAGCCAAACATTCAGGAGGTCAAAGCTTGTGACGTTTACACATCAACCGGACACCCCACTAATTCGTGTCCATCACTCCGAGAAGAGCAAGTCAACGCTCTGGGTTTCCAAGGGCATCAACAAAGGAGGTATGATTCATTCTCAAATTCTTACAACCCTTGATTATTGAGGGATCATCCAAACTTAAGGTATGGAAACCCCCAATAATCCAATCCATCTTCTCAACCATCTTTCAACGCCCAAGGCTCAAATTCTCAATCTAATATGTCAACTGATGACATGATCCGAACTTTGACCTCAAACATGGTTATCATGCAACAAAATATGGGACAATTTCAACAAAGCATGATACAATTCCAACATGAGACAAAGTCAAGAATAAAGAATTTGGAAACTCAAATTAGCCAAATTTCAAATGCCGTGAGCCGACTTGAAGCAAAGGACTCGAGTAAACTCCCATCTCAAAAGGAGCAAAACCCGAGATAACATGTGAATGCCATCATGTTGAGAAGTGGGGTGGCATTGAAGGGGGTAGAAATTAATAATATTCTTCCTTGAATATTAATTAATTCATATTCATATTTCATATTAATGTTTTGAGCATTACTTAAAGGATCAACTAGATTTGTTTCATATATTAATTATTACTAGAATCAATCGATTAATACGCTTGTTATTAATTCTTTTCTTTCAACGGTAGTAAACTTGGATTATTAATGCATGCATCTCATGATTAATAATCTAATGGGTATTAATTATATTGATTAAACCAATAAACCGCTTGTGTTGAGGTTATCAATCTCAATCGTTTTCATCTTAAATTTATTGCTACTATCGGGTTACTGTACGACGCGTGTTCTATATTGACTCGGTTGTAAGTATTATTAATGAACACATCTCGTTGTGAATAACTACCCTCGATGAAATGGAGATACTCCTCGATTGAGTATTCGAGAGGAAGATAGTTAAAGATATAACTGGGATCGACGAACATTTCATTAAGTAGATAAAAGCAAAACCAAGTCATCATCTCTATAAATTAAAACACATAAGTCATTCATCTTAGTGTTAATTACATTAAATCAAATCAAACTCAAAACCCCCCTTTGTATTATTTAATTAAAAGAAAGATATTCCTTTCCCTGTGGATACGAACCTTACTACACTATACTACGTATAAGTGTTGTATTGTATTTATTATTTTGAGTGCACACCACAACAAAGTGCACGTCACGTGGATTACTAAGTGAATTGGTATTTAGGATGTTTTTACTTGGACTGTAATTCGTCCCAGACCAGACCAGATCAGACCAGACCAGTTCAGACCAGACCTGTTCAGACCAGACCAGACCAGACTTGGATAGTTATAAAAATACAAAGAAACCAGACCAGACCAGACCAGACCAGACCAGTTCAGACCAGACCAGACCAGATCAGACCAGACCATACCAGTAAATTACAATCCAAGTAAAAACATCCTTAAACAGATTGATCCCGTCACAGTTTATGTAGATAACAAGTCTGCAATTGCACTAATGAAGAATACAGTGTTCCACAGAAGGAGCAAACATATTGATATTAATTTTCACTTCATTCGTGAATGTGTGGAGAGGGGAGAAATTGTGGTGCAACATGTTCACACTCAGGAACAAAAGGCTGATATACTTACCAAGACTTTAGCTAGAGTAAAGTTTGAAGAAATGCGCAGGTTGCTCGGAGTCAGAGACATCACTACTGTTGGCAATGCATAGTTCGGATTAAGGGGAAGATTGTTGCGGTTAATCCTCCTACATTTCAGTTTTAATATTTAATATTTAATCTTTTATCAAATAATGTTTCACTTATGTTTTACCTATTCTTTAGGCAACTTCATAGTCTTAGCATGTTGTTATGAAGTGGAGTAGTGATCTGGCATAAAAGTAGCTGAGTTAAGTGCATATTTTATTTTATATCTGCATTTTATCTTGATTAATATAGAGAGTCCGGTTGTTTCATTCCTATATAAAAATTCCTATATAAAAACAGAGAGCTTTACTTCTTGCATTGAAACTGTTTGATTAAATGACTCGGTGAGATTATTTCTTCGAATTACATTTTTCATTTTGCAGAAATCCTGGGCCGTATACAACACCGCCGATATATAACAAGCTAAGTAATGGTCGATCAATTATAGTCTGTCACATTCAAATCATAATGATACCCAAAATGATGGGTGTAAGACATGGAGCTGCTACTCTCTCCAACATCCTTAGTATTATTGTTGTTGTCACCAAAACCGTCAGCTGAGGATTGTCTGCAGCACCTATACTTATTGTTAGTGTTTTCTTCGTCGTCGTACTCTTCTTTCGCTACCATCTCCTGCGGTGGTCGGCCGCCTGACGACCCCAAGTAATGCGACGGATCGTCGGAGTAGTTTCCTGGCACCGGCACGACGGAGGGGAGCTTGGAGAGAAGAGCTTCTAGGCTGTTCATTGACGGTGTAATCTTCACCATCATGGATGCAGCCGCCGCCTGTTGGGAGTGGTCATAGTACTCTGACGGCGGTGCCGCGCCCATAATGTTGGCGGCCGGAAAATGAGACAGCCATGGTTCCTGTGGCGGGGTCACACCGTAGGCGGCGTCGACCTTGATGGGGTAGGCGGCTGATGAAGATGGGTGTGGGAGGAGGACTCCCGGGATGCTCTCTATGTAGCTCAGCTTCTTTCTCAGTAGCACCACGTAACTCAAGTCTTCAATAACCTAACAACAATAACCATAATAAGGGAGCGTTTGCTAATGCTATTGATTAAAAAAGCATTTTTTCAAATGATTTCAGAAAAAGTGATTCAGAGTAAAAGGTGATAGTGTTTGAAAAAAACGATTTTGAAATATAAAAATTAGTAGTGTTTGCAAAAATAAGTGTTTTTTGAGTAATAGAAAAAGTAAAAAACATTTTTCACTCTAAAGCCGAGAATCACTTTTTTAAGTAGAAGTTGTCATTTGAAAACACTATTTTAGCTTTTTAAATCAAAAGCTGAGAAGCGCTTTTTAAAGTGATTGCAAACTGACCCAAATTATACTACTAGTAGTATAAAAAAGTTTTATTGCGTTGTTTTTGTTTTTTAATTCATTAAAGACCCATGAAATGAGTATTCTTCATCATGGAATATAGTATACACATGCATAGTCTCTCCCAGTACAAAAGAACACAGGATTAACAAGGATAAGGATTTTGATAGGCATTCATCAAGAGGATTTGGTATGGATATGTAAACCCCGCCAAAAAACATTTTGACACGATTTATGTGAAACAAAATCGTCAGACAATCTGTGCCAAATTCGTGTCAACCCTTTAATTTTTTTTGTAGTGTCCCTCTATCTGTCTCATTTGAATCTTTAGAGTTACTACTCATACGATGAAATGAATTTTATCAAATGCTAATTGTAAATATCACATTTTTATCATATTTGCATTTTTGGGACTTTCAAAACTTATGACGTAGTTTATAAACTGTGTATTTTTTTAATTTTCAAATTTATGGGGATTCATAATTTACTTGCTTTAGCTGGTGAAGATTGAATGAGATGGGGATATGATATGATGGTGGTAGTAAATATGAATGAGGTAAGGTGATACGAACATATGCATGGGGCAATGTACTCAATAATTGTATTGTTAAAAAAGGGAGGGGGAACACATGAGGTAGTGGCCTGGTACAGAGACCATCAGGCCGGCCAGTATTTTGTTTACAAGTACGTACCACAGCTTTTAGCAGAATATATATATATATATATATATATATATATATATATATATATATATATTGTGGTTCAAATAAGAACATGATCTTATGAAAAAATGAGAATGAATCGAGACCGTTAGATTTGTTTTATGTGAAAATCAATGTACATTAGATGAAACTGTAATATGTATGAGGTGAAATTGAAATGTGCAGCACAAATGAGACAATGTAGTGGCATTATGTGAAGCTAAATTGTGCATTAGGTGAATTTGAAATGTGCACTAGATGAAATTTTTGTACCTTTTATTCTACATATTTCAGTTTCACCTAATGCATATGTGAGTTTAAATTTTAATTCTGCACATTTTAATATCATCTAATGCACATTTCGGTTTCACCAAATGCACAATTCAATTTCACATAATTCAATCCAACAGTCCAGATCCATTCTTACCGGAATCGCTCCCGGCTTAGTAGATTTGGATCGGGTAAATTAAATGATATAGAGCGAGAAATGGATACATAGACGTAACAATTCATTACCTTATGAACGGCTCCCAGTTGGATAACACCTTCTCTAACAGCAATCAAAGCTATGGTCTGACCAAATCAAAATATATGATAAGGATAACAACTTTATTCTTCAAACTATATATATAAGAACATGATCGAGAAATGAGAATAAATCTGGATCGTTAGATTTGCTTTAAGTAAAATTCAATGTGCATTAGATGAAACTGTAATGTGCATTATGTAAAATTGAAATGTGCAACACAAAGCGTGTGATACAATGTCATTAAGTGAAGCTGAATTGTGCATTAGGTGAGATTGAAATGTGCACTAGGTGAAACTAAAATGTGCAGAATAAAAGGTACGTTGTGACGTTATTTTTGTACATTTTATTCCGCACATTTCAGTTTCACCCAATGCACAATTGAGTTTAAATTTTTATTCTGCACATTTCAGTATCATGTAATACACATTTCAGTTTCATCAAATGCACATTTCCGTTCCACATAATACAATCCAATGATCCAAATTCGTTCTTATTTCTCTCCTGGGAGTCCGTTCTTACCGGAACCGCTCCCTATATATATATATATATATATATATATATATATATATATATATATATATATATATATATATATATATCTCAGGCCAAAGTATATATATGTCCGAAGCATTTGACTACATATATGCGCCCATCCTCTCCATTCTTTGCTAATAACAAAATGACATTCATGTTTCCAAATTTGAAATTTCCTATTGAATTTGAGAATTTCTAAAGTAGGAATGAACTTAATTGTTGACATCGCAAATGAAAGCTTACTCCTAAATCATAAGTAAAGGTTTTCGTACACTATTCATGTGGTCAACTTAACTCATTTTAATCATTGATTTGTATACTAAGTTTTTATCATACTAGCTCAGTCTTTTTTTTATTTAGCTATCTTTGTCTTTTCCAGTAAAAAAGATGATAATTTTTTATCCATTATTTTAAATAGTAAATTTATGTGAAAATTAATAAAATTATATTTTTATGATAGTATTTTTAACAAAAAACATTTTCATATCATTTTTATATTATCAATATTACCATGTGTAAACATATAACTGATCAAAGTTTAACATTATTGACTTGTAAAATGATATTTAGCTAAATGGGGGGTATTTGATTTCCGCAATTCAATAATTTTTTTTTTCATTTTCAATATAGAGGTTTAATTATTAGTACATATGTACTTCTTTCATCCCGTACAACTCTGTGGACTTTGACTTTCTTAAACAATTGTGATAAGTTTGACCAATGATATCAATTTATATATTTTTGAGAGGGTTATAAGTTTTATACTTTTATCACAAGAGTGTTCACTAGCTAACAACATTTTCATATGGTTACCCTTTGACAAAGTCTAACCAAGACCAAAGATCCCTACGTTTCAAGGAACATGGCTAGGGAGTATATATATTATTAGGCATATTTTCCTTTTGGAGCATTATTTTCTAAAAATAAGAGTAAAAACAAAGTGATTTCCCCAAATTGACTAGTGTAAACAAAGTATTGTCATTTTGAAATTGTATTGAAACATTATATTGTGACATTATTAAGCATTACTGTTAATAACTATATTAGTTGCATAATATGATAATGACATGGCCGGTCATATCCATTTTTGGGCCTATGTGCGGTACACTATTTTGGACTTATATCCATGACAAACTGTAAATCATATTTGGATAATGAAGTTCATAAAATAAAGACGTGAATCACTTTATTATTATATAAGTTACATATTTTGGCAAAAGTAACAATACGAGTATCGAATAAAAAGAAAAAACATTATTTAAAAACGTTTATCGTAGACCAACGTGAAGCAAAGCATTAATAATTGCTTCATATGCAACCTTCTTTCCACTAATAAATATGACAAACAATAAAATTGACACATATAATAACAGTAAACTTTCTTTTGAAAGGATAAATGAAAAGAAATATTACCACATATTGAATTCATAAGTTGACAATGATTTATTGACCGTTGATGAAAGTCTAAAGTTTGAAGTCTCGAAAGAATAAAGGTTTTCAAAGAGACAAAATGTTTGGCAGCCAAGAGGACTCGCGCTAGAAGATTGCAAATTTGACGTCCTCTAAAACTAGTATTAGGAACTCAGATATAACTTATTGAAATTTGGAAACAAATGAATAATTGGGGTGAAATTTGAGAGAAATGGGCTCTAAAATAATTATATAAATTTGTTATGGTATAATTAAATTGAATAAAAAAACTTAAAAGCTAAAAAAATGTGAGGATTAGAGAGACATGCCTTTTATTTATGCAGCAACAATTGTATTGCTTTTAAAAACTACAATCGATCCTGCTAAAAATTAATGTATATATTCAATTTTAAACTTGTCTCTGTTTAGGACTCTTTATTTATGTTTTAAATTTTCAAATTGTCAACAAAATTAATCATTAGGCCTAATTAATTGAACTTAAGAATAAAAAAAGAAGCCTATTCACACTATATATAAAGAAAAAAATTTGGGCCTATTTTTTCTTCTATTTTTTTCGGGCCTAGGGCGGTCGCCCCTCTTGCAATAATATTAGGACAATTTATTTTTACTTTTTAAGGTGAACCGAGAATTAACCTTAGCTTGAAATGCGTGAGGAAACACCAAATATTATACTCCCTCCATCCCGCTAACAATGGGACAAGAGGGAGTGACACGCAAACCAATAAAAATTGGTTTATGTGATTGATATTGAATTGATAACCTATACATACTACGTACGTATCATATTGAACAAAGAAAAAAATTGGTTTACGTATCATATTGAACTTAAATAAAATTGAATTTCAATTTTTAAACATGATCTGATTGCAATAAACATGTTACAAATAGAATAAGAGTAAATTGAATAGTCCGTATGAAAAAAGAAGCGAGTAGAAAATGTTGTAATTAGCATATGATAATATGATATGATGAGAAGCTGACACGGCCGATTGCTACTATACGTTTGGAAACGGAGTGATGAAGGATATGTATATTACTACCTCCCTCCCATTTCGTGTGTCACTTTGACTCGAAGCAATTACTAATGAAGTGGTTCAAAAAGTTAAAATTATGGTTAAGATTTGAATATAATAAAATGAAATATTGTATGTCACATTTTTTTCCAAAAATGGAAATAAGACACTTATTTTAAGACAAATAAATAAAGAAAATAGAACAACTAAAATGGGACAGTATTAATTAATTAATAGCTAGGCCGGGAGGATGGTGAGATTCTTTCTTAGCTTGATAGGACCACTAGTAAGATCCCTCCATGATGATGACAACTTCTATCAAGACTGGCCGGACGGAAGCGTTTTAAGATTCAGTCTTATCTTTCAATTCCGATCCGATCCCATCCATCATATATAATTCATATATATAAATAAATCATTTCTATATATATATATATATATATATATATATATATATATATATATATACACACAGAGTATTATTATTATTATTATTTTTATATTTTTATACCTTAATACCAGATCGAAACTGAGCTTCCCAAGTCCTCGGATGCTGTTGATTAAAAAGCCAAAGAAAAGTTTAATTAAAACCGGCGGAGGTGATCGAGGAAATAAAATAAAATAAAGCTAGCGGCATTGGAAACATAATATATGTTTGGTAGCTCTAGCTTACAGAGTCAGCAGAGTGATGCCATGCAGACAAGAAGTTGATTTCTTGATCATTTGGTTCTTTATAAATCCATTTATGGCTGTGATCTGCCGCAACTTTTCCAATCATTCTGTAGGTACACGTACTAGCCTCAGATCATAGCTAACCACCAACCACTTATAAAGTATCACATACAATATTTCATTTTATCATAGCCTCAGATCATAGCTAACCACCAATCATAGACTATACACTTTTGACTTTATTATTCTAAATTGATTTTGACCGAGTTTTATGAGACAAAAAAAATAGTTACTACTTATTTTTATATCGAGTATGGCCCCTCCATTTGAGGTTAATTTACACAAATTTAATTGACATCACGATTGAATATAATCTAACGGAGGTGGCCTCAAGACAGTATCGGTCGGCCCCGACATGAACACCACTCTATATGTACATAGACCAATTCAAAAACAGAAATCGATCAATATTATAAGAGCTAGATCCATTATATTTCGATCTGCAGTTAGCTTGGTACTTATTATTGGATGGACGTAGATACGTACCCTTCGCCGTAGTTGTATATCTCGTGAGACATCTTAAAGAAGAGTTCCGGCTGAAGCCCATCATGTCCCGCCCCACACTCTTCCGCATTCATCTCCGCCGCCGCCGCAAAGTTACAAAACCCATCTTCCCAGACTAGTATCCTATTTAGTTATATGTATATTGTTTTCCTCAACTACAAATCTTGTTTGAGCTTTTGTTTTTAATTTTTGAAAGAACAATAAAAAGAATTTACATATTTAATTATTTATAGCTGCTAGTACATACATACCAGTTTCTTCTATTGCCTCTTGACCTGTCATAAGCACTTCCTTGGGTGTCCCACCTGCGCATAGCATTATTCAAGAATGAATGAATGAATGAATTGAAGGCCATATATAATTATTAAGTACGCTTAATTAAAGAAAGAGTTATATATATGGTTCCTATATATATATATATATATATATATTATGATCTGATGATGATTGGTACGTTAATTATAATAATATACTAGTAATATAATTACTGACTTGGGAGGAGGATAGTTTCTGGGCAAAATTCTCCAGAAAACAGCGTATACCCACTGCGAGCTTTCATGGATGCACAAGCTTCTGAGGGTATGTTGAAGAAGATGAGTAACTGCCAAGGAGCTCAGCTGCTGCTGCTGGTGCTCTTCCATTCTTTTCGTCCTTTACTAGCAGCTAGCGCTAGCTTTTTGAATCAATTTTCTTCTCTTCAAGCTAGCAGCTGCCCAAACACGCCCTTTGCCTTTTCCTTTCGTTCTATACTTTGTTTTCTAGCTAGCTAGCTCCTTTATTCGGTTCGATCTGCGCCATAAATCATACTTATACAAATAATAATGCTCTCATCTATCGATATATATTTAAAAGAAGCAAAGACCCAACACCCTTTACTTGCTTTATATAAGGGCACCACCACCATCTCAGTGTTCACATTAATTATTTATTTTTTGAAGACTTTACCAAAATCTAACGGGTGGGTCCACACTTTTCTTTTTGCCCACTTTTGTGTTAGCCAGCAGTGTAGCTGTGTACCGTCTAGTTTGTTTACTTCCTTGCATACCCTAAAATTTCAATCAAGTCCCAACAATTACTTTTCTTTTATCAAACAAGTGCAGCTATATATATATAAAGGAAAATTACAGTGCAAGAAGATAAATAAAAGAAAAAGATACGAAAAAGTACAAGTAAAAGTAAAAAAACAAAATATATATATATATATATATATATATATATATATATACACACACACACACATATACGGGTGAGTTCTAATACAAAGGAATCTTCCCATGAAAAGTGAGAAGTGATCTAAGATCTTGATCACTTCAAAATGAATGGAGTAGATCAAAATTCACGGTAAATCAAAATGCGTAATACATAATAGTAAAAATGCATATGTCATATGGCCCATATCTAAGAGTGAATATTTAACTCCTAAAAAAATAACACCAACAATTTCTATACTTGTTGCTTTCCACCCCGAAAAGTGATGCACTTTTGTGTTACTCTAATGCACTTTTTCTCCATAGTCATGCACATTTATCATTTACACTATTGGGCACCGAATTTTCTAATATTACACTATTGGCACCGATTTTTTCACTTTAAAATTGATCTGAATCATTCATTTTCTCATTTTAACGGCTAAGCTTACTTCTTTTTTTCATATAAGTAGTACTTTGTATTTGAACCTCCCTATATATATATATATATATATATATATATATATAATTAGGTTCAATTGAGAAAATGATCTTAGGAGAGAAATGAGAATAAATCTGGACCGTTAGATTATATTTTGTGAAATTGAATGTGCATTAAGTGAAACTGAAATGTACATTAGATGAAATCAAAATATGCAGCCCAAAAAGTAAGGCACAATGATATTATGTGAAGCTGAGTTGTGCATTAGACCAAACCGAAATGTGCACTAGGTTAAACTGAAATGTGCAGAATCAAAACTACAATGCGGTGACATTTTTGGTAAGATCATTTTCTCACTTGAACCTAATTCTATATACACACACACACAGATATATATATATATATATATATATAGGGTGCGGTTCCAGTGAGAATGGACTCCCAAGAGAGAAATGAGAACACATCTCATACCTTGATCTTATGTTTTTAACGTCATGAAGTAATTGATGCACGCTTCTTATGATGCACATGATTACATGATATAACTTCCCTAAAAATTGAATGCACGTGTGTCCAATAGAGGAGGGCATATTAGTAACTCTAAGATTAATAACATTATATACGAATACCTACATTTTAGCACTTTCCCTATTATTATGTAACCGCCCACTTCTAAGTCCCTAAACTTCCGTCTACTCATAAATAATATTGTTGCTTGAATTATCATTATATAATTATAATACGAACTATTATTAATCATTCACTTACATTTGCATTTCTATTAACATACATATGTGCAATTCTGTTTGTTTAAGCATGCAATATGTTCACAATAAAAGTGCACTAGTAAATAAATTGAGTCATCGTTCATTTTGTTAGCTCAGATCAATTATAATTTGAATTTCTAAATACATCTAGAGTGACTACTTGAACATGATGCACTCGTTAATAATGCTTTTTGTGTGTTTTGTGCATAAAATTGGACGCATGGTGCATGAAATTATCAAAGAGGTGCATTTTTTATGTAGACTATTGATAGTAATAAACATTTTTATGCACTTTACCAAAATTCGTGATGCACTTTTATGTATTGATTGTTCACTTTTGAAATTAATTACTCCCTCCGCTCCTTAATTAACTTTACACTTTTCATTTTGGGTCGTCCCATATTAAACTTTACACTTCCTTATTTGCCTTATTTGGCAAACAAATCTATACCAAACAGTACAAAACAGTGTCAAACAGTGTCAAACAGTGTACTCTACAGTAAAGTCAAATTTATTTCCTTAATATGTGTGAAGTCAAAGTGTAAACTTCATTAAGGACCGCAAGGAGTATTAGTTATATAAGCATAACTAAAATATGATCTTTGTTTAACTATAAGTGAATATATATATTGTAATTAAGTAAAGAAATGTACATTTGTCTTATCGTAAGTGCACTTTTACGAAACATTAATGCATAGTCTATGACTAGTTCGGTAAAGTGCATTATGTACGAGCATAAAGGCATCAAGTAACATTGACATGCACTTTTGTGAATAGCAGTTTTATGTCATCGACATGCTCTTGTTATCTCATGAACATGCACTTTTATTCAAATTTTTTTAGCAAACAAGCTCATACATTTGTGCACAACTATCATACAATCAAGAAAGATGCATTGCACACACATACAGAAACTTGAAGTGAAATAATTGTAAAAATCTAACTATTTAGAAAAACAAAATGTAAAAAACTGAAATATAGAAAAATATAAGCTCGTGCACAAAAACATTATTAAAGTGCAACGTTGAGATATTAATGGTGCATCGAAAAGCTATTGAAAAATGTTGTCTCTATTATGTATTTTTGCAACTTCCACTTCAAATATAATTTTCCAAATTCAATGTCATAGATAAAAGGCAGAAAAAAGGTAGATATTAATTTTACAAACATCAAATTGATAAGACTTGGTGTCTATCTTTCTTCTCCTCTTCGATTGTGGTAGAGGTTGTCGTGTGGGTTGAGTAAGATTTAGAAGGTGGTGGGGCCGGATGACGTCCAAGAAAAAACAACGGTAAAACTGAGGAAAGATGATAAATAGACCGTGTAGATGAAGGAAAGATTGAAGGTGGCAGTTATGGAAAGCATCGGTGTGCTAGATTGGTAAGAAAGTAAATACCTGATTTGCCCTTAATGAATGACGCACAGGAAATAAGAAAAAATCAAAATCCAAGGGGTGAAATCTATTCTTATTTCTCTCTTGAGATGATATTCTCACTTGAACTTAAATCTATATATATTTTGGGATTTTTTACAAACTGTTTTTCTGGACCTCTATTGGGCCGAATACAAAGTAAATGGTAGCGTATACAAATGATTAAGTGCAAAACCCTATTCTGGGAGCTCTTTACGGCTGATGAGGGCATGGCCGATGAGGGCGTGGCCGACGAAGGCCTGGCCGACGAGGTCACCCGGCTCTTCCTGGCTTCTAGATCACATTCTGAGTAGACTTCCTTCTGGATGATGTGGGTCATCCGGCCGACGAGGGTCCCACCAGGTGGTCGTGGTACCTTCTTTTCTTCCGAGTATGTGGGCCCTGGGGTCGAGGCCCATATACTCCATCAGGAGTCCCCCACTCTCTGAGCTGAGATGCAGACGAAGTGAAGGAGAGTAGATTCCCTGATGTTGACTTTTCCCTGGCCGTCATTGGCGTCCTTTGCTCTTGTTCTTCGTTTTTCTGCCGTTACGGGCATCCTATGTTCTAGCCGTTGTGTGGCCTCCGCTGTAGACGAAGAGGGCTCTAGTCATGCGGATGATGTGTGTTTTCGGTTAAGGACGACAAGTGCCATTGCTGGGTGGATACGATGAGCGTTCTCTTGTGTGAATGGCCGATGAAGATGACGCTTCCCTACTCCTGGCCATTGATGTTTGAGGACGATGAGTGTCCTTCTTCCTCTGGGTAGCCGGTGAGGGTGTTGTTTGCTTTATTTGGTCGATGTGGCTCTCATTCTATGCTTTTGGTTTAGTGATGCTATTCGTAGCTTTGTCGTTCATGTTTTTAGGACGATAGTGCCACTGGTCCGGGGGGAGTATTGCGTCTCTTGATCTTATGGATGCTGGTGATTTGAGGACGTTGAGTTCCTGTTTTTAACTTCTTGGCCGATAGTGGAGAGAATTGTGTCTGCTGACTTTGCTGCAGCCGACGGTGCTCCCCAAGATCCTGGATGTTGTGGTGCATATATGTTCTGATGTTGTAGTTGTGGACTTAGTATATTTTTGGATTTCTTTGATTTTGTCCTCTTGTATCCCAGTGCTTCAGGCCGAAGAGTATGCGAGGGGTGAAGGAGTAGATGATAACCCTAGGCTGAAGCGGGTTCCTTGTATTCCCCTGAATCCAATTCCTTGGCGATTTCCTAACCAAGGTAACCCTGTGGGAGAACCCTTGGACGCAGGTCGCTTTCAAGAAATTATCATCGGGGTTCTATACAAGGCCGATGGCTGTGGGGTTGCTTTTGCTTTGCTTTTATGGCCGTTGGGGAGGCCTTGCTATTGGTCTTCTGTTTTGGACCGATATGGGTACAGTTTGTGGTGTGACCTGGTATTTTGAAATTATGGTTGGCCGTTGTGGCTGATGTAGGTGTTAGATGTCAGGCAGCCATTGAAGTGAGATTGATTTTCCTTGGTGAAGCCGTTGAGTGTCTTTAGGCCATGGGTTGAGCCGTTAGTGCCTCTTTTGAAGTGGGCCTGGCCCGTTTACAAAGCGGTGACACCTGCCTGGGCCTTGTAGCGGTGACCGCTGGGGCGGCCACTGATGGTGTGCCACATGTAATGACCCTTTTGGGGGTGAGGTCTATAAATACCCCGCTCCCTCCGAAAAAAATCCCCATTGCATTCTTGAGATAAATGAAGTGCTTCCCAATTCTAGAGAGATAAAGGTTGTTCGAGTGTTCTTCAAAACTTCAAACGTTCAAAGGTCAGTTCATTGCACTTTCCTTCATTTTTTACATATTTTGCTTCCTTGACCTTCGATCTGGTGTTAGTCAGTGAACCCTACTTAGATTCAAAACAGAACCTCGTAGGGCTTTAGTAGTTGTTGCGATGAAACCTTTGGACGAGGAGTATTACCCTTATGACGACGGGGTCTCCGCGAAGTCCTTTGATTATGGGTTGGTCGAAGAGTTATGCGAGGAGATCGAAGATCTGAGCTCCTTCGAATCTGGGGGGGCAGGAG